ACACACTCATATATATATATATACACATATACATATATATATATACATATCTATATATATATATACATATATCCCCCGCCCCCCCGAATGAACCACCGCGAGGTGCCGAGATAGTGCCACCAATTGTTTAATGTTAGGTTTTGAAGCCCCGAGGAGACAGCATACGTATATCGGCAGAAGCCTTCATTCTCAGTTCTTGCGACCCTTCACGCAGATAACGATGAAATTCATTTCGGTCTGAATACCCGAAGTTCAATATTGGGCCCGAGTGTTATCTCCCAAAGTAGCCTTCACTGCGGTCTCAGGTCAAAGCCCCAGCAATACATATGAATGACCGTTGGGCTTGGCTGCCTGCTGTTCCTAAACCGCAGTGTCCCTGAGACTTACCCTGCCATTAAACCTTACATCGGCCGCAATGGTGATAGTAGTCTTCTATTTCATGTTCACCCAAAAAAACTTCCTTATGGATTCGCGTCTTAGTTCGTATGGATTAAAATGCTATGTCGACTGAACCCCATTACACATCCCCATATTTACTCCCATATCGACTTGAAGGTTAAAACAATAACATGCATCAGCCTGATTGGCCCCCCGATAGTAAGGATATTGCAGTCCCCTGGGCAACGCTAATATTGGACCTGACTCCAAGATGGACCATATTTGCAAACTTCACATTACCCGTATGCTGTTCCCATTGGTAACCTTCGTACTGCATAGGATACATCCTTCCACAGCAATCCGAACAATGGTTTTAGGAGAAACCCCGACCATTGGCCTCAGAGATTTTTAGGGATGATACCAGCATTTGTTTGTTTACCCCAACATATTGTATGTGGCACCCCCTTTCTCACTGTAGCATGTAGTATATGATCATCTCGGATTTGCTGTCGGACTTGCCCGTACGCGTGTATGTACATTTATGTGTACATACACATGTTTTGATATCGGAGGATGGTCAAGAAGCTGTTCCCATGACTTCTGATGAAGCGCAACGAATGCTCAGACATAATTGCTACCTCGTTTTCTATTTGCAACTTTCACCCGCTAATGGTTCTGTCATATCCTTGCGACACGTGCCATCCTCGGGAACCTCGGTTCAGGATGGCTTTTCCTCTTGCGAGAATGCTGAAACAGCATGCTCTACAGCCGGGCGGTTAATACGCCTGTCTCGACACTCTTCGCTAGGCCTTGAGACTCTCGGGCAGCGCTTTCAAAGTCATAAATGTATATACACATGCTAACCCTAAGGTTAAACCTGTATACTAGATACCAACATAATGACGAGGATCGCTAACTGACTCCTGATTCCAAACAACATCAACCCTAACCCTATCCTTGTCGTTCGCCCTTATGTCAATGGTTATCGTAATATTCGCCCTGACAGCAGCCCGAAGCGATCCATAGTTGGCTTCGTACCACCCATAATTTGACCCCGATGTTTCTCTTATTCAATTTACAGCCTTAGTCAGCAAAAGAATCGCAGTGGTAGCGGTGATAACCCTGATATCCTGGGTCCTGGTCTGTGTTAAACCTGCAGTACTAGCTCTCTATGTAGCCCACAACTGGTTCGAATAATGTACTGGTTATTACCAATTGTATAGTATTAATGCTAAGCGGAACCAAATCCCAACAGTAATGACACTCGAACCTTATTGGCAACACTAATTCGTAACGCTCACAAACAACAAATGAGACGTACACATTCTTTGCTAGGAACACTTTGGTCTTTGAATTAAATACCAAATTATCCTAGGAAAAAAGTTTGATTTTTGGCCCAAAACCATCTTTTTCCCAGGAAAAGTTAATTTTCGGTTGAAAAACCAACTTTTGCTTAGGAAAAAAATTGGTTTTCCCACCGAAAACCTACTTTTTCGGCGGGAAAAATGAAAAAAACATCTTTTGCGAAACTTTACGGCCTGACTCCAAAAAGATGTTTTGTTTTGGTTTTCCCTAGGAAAAAATTGGTTTTTGGTGGAGATATCAACTTTTTCCTAGGAAAAGAAGGTTTTGGGCCAAAAAACATACTTTTTCCTAGGAAAAAGTTGGTTTTCGGTCGGAGCCCAACAGATGTCATTTTTGGTTTTTTGGTTTTCCCTAGAAAAAAGTTGGTTTCTGATTGGAAGAGTACAGTGTTGCCGTTACCTGCGTGCTCACGTCGAACCTGAACGAGGTGCCTGGCGGTTGGTTTTTGAATGGAAGAGTACAGTGTTGTGATTGAGTGCGTGCTCACGTCGAACCTGAACGAGTTAACGGGCGCTTTCTCTTGAAGTGTGAGTTTGGTTTTGGCAGTCTTTGAGAGACACCCAATCCGGACTTGCCGGAAAAGCTGGTTTAACACGGTATTTACGATACAAAACGAGGGTCGGTGGTTCGGGGGGAGGTACCACATATATATGTATATATATATCTGTATATATGTGCCTTGCAATGTGTGCATGTCATGGGCTTTCGAAATGAGTGAAACACATGCGTATTGGCTGTTTTCCTACACACACACATGCATTTTCATATGTGTGTGCATATTCATGTGCAGGTGCAATTGCATGTGCATGTACATGTATGCATACATATACACTGCCATATGCATGCAATATATGGTAGAAATGATAAACATAAATATATATACATATGTATATGTAAATAAATAGATAAATATATATATATATAAATATACTACACACAGGCATACAAACATACATACATACATACATACATACATACGTACATACATACATACATGCATGCATACGTATACTTACTTGCTTACTTACACATGCATACACGCATCCAACTACACGCACACATAAACACATGGATGTGCGAATAGGCATGCATGCACAATGACACCTCCGGACCGGCAGGCCATTGGCCCTGTGTCCCTCGTGTCGACGCAAAGATCAGAACCTTCGCCTGGAGATTCCAAGAAGATTTTGTTCCAGAACAGGTTGAGGAATCAGGCCCATCGATCGGAGATGGATTGCACTGAGGAAGCAAGCTCTGGCCTGGTGGCCATCATGGAGAAAGCCAGCGCCGGGCAATGGAGTTTGTACAAGGAGGCACTTCATTTGGCGAGCTGCTCGAGCTTGAGTTTCTCGCGAGAGAGAGATTGCCACCGAGAGAGCGGGAGAGCCAACGGATCCCGGAAGGTGTGAGTGCAGTTTGGTTTTGTCAGCACAGGGCTCGGGTGAGGTTGCATTCTGCTTCAAAGCGTATGTTGCTGAAACTAGTGGGCCTTTCCCTTGCTTCAGTTTCGATGCCGACCGAATGAGACTAGTTGATCTGGTGTCCACCTTGAATTTCTCAAGAAGAACCGCAAAAGAAAGAGTGAGCCAGCGACACATTCACACATTATTTGCAGTCTACACATGCTCGTAAATACGTATGTATGCATGCATGTATGCGGTGGCATGTAGTAGCCAATTCAGATTCACCCACTTGTACGAAGAGCTGGCAGGACTAAGTTGTAATCGTAGGGACGAGTTGGCCAAATGCAGAGTAGGAAGGAGTGAATCATGGGAGAAATATCTGCCACAAGCAGGGGCGAAGACAGGAAGACAGGTGGTGAAACTAAGGGCCAATAAATTCGGTGCCCATGCCACATATGCATGCAGGTGGTCCAAGACAACATTGCTGGTGGGGCATGGCAGGCACGGCGCTATCCTTGTGTGCAGTCACTGCAGACTCGTGGCATAAGGTCAATGCATTGTTGTTTCTTGAGCCGAAATGATGTGACAATGATCAATCTGTCGGGATAGCCGTTTTGCGGCAAGCACTTTTTCGGTAGATGATGAAAAGTCAGAGCCCGTAGTACCGTAGCGACAGTCATGCCAAGAAGAGATGCCTGGTTGGATGGCCCTCCGATTGGAACGATGACCAATGCACGGGCTACTGCTCGGATGGGTGAAGCTGGACACGGCAATTCTCCAATTCTCAAGATGATGTCAGCCATTCGGAGTTGGCATCTTCTTCTGCAGGCTCCATAGGGCCATAGGACATCCAAACTTGTGCGTGCGACCATGCCGTTTCTTCGCCAAGGGCCACTGCTGTTACGGCGAGCGCTGCAATCAATGTCATGAAAAGCATGAGCATCTGCAAAGTCTTCCAGACAAAAAGCAACGTGCCCAGTTGCGTGACTTGAACGAAGGACAAATGTGGCGGTTGTTGTGGCCCTACTTACGAGCACAAGTTGAAAACTGGGAGCTGTCAGCCGGTGATCCCCGGCCAGTTATTGAACTGGCTCACTAGCTCATCAACGCATCTTGTTCGTTCTGGGGCCAACCCTGTTGTGCCCTGCAGAATGGCCCAGAAGTTGTCAGGAGTGCTCCACAGCATGAATTTCAGTGGGCTCATGGACATCGCGTTGGGACCCATGTCCTGAATGCTCCAGACCCAGTGCGGCCAGTCTTTGGCTGGATGGGGCGGAGGGTAGTGAATCAGTGAAGCGGTAGATTTCCCTGACGTTGTTTTTCGGGACAGGATTCCGACAAGTGTACAGATTGACTGTGAGCCACACTTCGTGGTGTGCGCCAGCCAAGGACAAGTTTACTGGTTCGTGTCACACACAACGGGGCCTTTCCCCCAACTTTAAATGCCTTGTGTGCGTGTGCTAGTGGTTCCACGTGTGTTTTAGAGGGGTCTGCTCAGGCAAAAGCTAGCCGCAGCTAGCCGCCCTGCCCAGCAACCCGAGGGGGGTGACCCCGCCGGAGAAGGAGCCTGTGTCCAAATCTGACGCAAAAAGTTGCTCTCTGTCTCGAAGCTCGGCCCATGCTCAGTAGACAGCGCTGGGGAGACTTCGGAGCGAATGGGTTGTGTGGGGGTAGAAGGGTTGAGAACCATTTTCGCTTCGCTTTCATGCGTGACAGTGCTCTTTTCGATGCCACTAGACTCCCTGGACAAAAGAACTCGCCAGATTTTTCAGCTTGATTGCTGCTGCCGAGCTGACGAGGCCCTGATCTTCACCACCATCTTTCTAGCCTCGGTCTTTGGATTGTACTGGATGGCATGCATCCCCAGTGAGGACAAGCATGACGGCGCCTGGGCTGTATTTGGCAACATGTTATCATGAACTGGTCAATCGTGGGTAGATAGGCTTGGAGCCACTCTTGGACGATGACACATCATGTGCCTGGCATGATTTCGCAGCATCTCCTGTCAGACTGGGCAGCCAGCGTCACAAAGAGTCCAATGGTACCGTGAAGTGACAGACAAGCAAAACACTGGTAGCTGTGATTTTAGTTCAGCCGGGCTTCAGTCGGTCGCTCGTGAGTAGATGGCCGAACCCGGCATGACTGTCAATCGGTGCCATTTCTTCGCAAGCAGACCTGCAAACATGACACCGACGGTACTGAGGAAGAGATCACAGAATGCTGGCGGGAAGGCAGCATGGAAATGCTGGACATCTGCTGTCAGGCAGACAGAGCCTCGATTTGAGTAGCAATCCGATGAAGTCGATGGGCACAAGGTCGGAGGGAGAACGTGAGAGCATGTTAGAACTAGTTGGAACGCATGTATATCTTCGTAGGCACTTACTTACTCAAGCATGTTAACATTGTAGCTGTTGTGAGCTGTGTTACGCTTAGAGCAAAAGGCCGTCTTTTTGATGCCACGAAGACTAATCAGCTCCGAGACTCCTCGCATCATTTTCTGTAGCCATTCGAAACATGTGGGTCTCAAGTGACCGTTGTAAGCATGCACCATGATAATTCGGACTGGCGCAACCTGTCAGTCGCACGACCAGTGTCTTCAAATGGATTCCAAAGACAAATGTGCAGCTCAGGATGTATCCTGCAATGTCTCAGCGCCCAACCCTCGAAGCTGGCTCCGTGCGGTCGTTGAACCCACTGAATCCACCTTCATCAATGAGATTGAGTTTGACCGCGCGAAAATCCACAGGTGCCGTCAGGGGATCTTCAGGCGACCTTTCTTGTTGAGGCATTGGGGTGTGAGGTGTGATCTATTTCACCTGTATTTTGCCTTCCAGAAGCCCTAGACGGACAAAAGCATGGCGCACTGAGCGCGGCAATGCATGATGGGCATGTCGATTATGTGCTTGGGGAGGTGACAACTGGTACCCGGAGCTGCCCACTATCTATCCGCCTCTTGTGATTCCAGCCGCACATACACGGCTGGCAGTGCCGGTCTCGCCGCTGTTTCACGACCGGTTCGAGGTGGATGTGCTTGGATTGTCAGGCCGGCACACCTGGAAGGGTTGAGGAAGGCTGCACGGCAGGGTGGGCTTACCTGTGCCTAGTGTGCTCGCCAGGCGTACCGTTGCTCACGGCTGCGCTCACGCAGGAAAATGGCTTACGGAAGGCGGCATTAAACGCAGATTAGCTGTTCTCTGGGTTGTTGTCCACATGTTGTTCTTCAGCTTTGCTTTGTTCGTGACATGGAGGTGCAGATCTCCTTACACAGTGCAGGCACCCTGGCAGCATGGCAGTCGCAGGCCTCCTGACTAGGCATTGACCCACGAAGTAATGTGGCTGCTGCCTCGTGCCATTTTCCGCACAAGCCAGTTACCAGTCAACAGTCATTCGTTGCGAGCCCAAGACAGATGTGTTTGTCGTCGGTGTTGCAGAAGGAGATGTTTCTGAGGCACGCTTTTGGCAATTGTGACCTCTGTTCCCAGCTCAGCATGAAAATGTTTATTTGGGGGCTCCATGTGCATTTCTTTTCGTGGTAAGTGCTCTGCACAGAAGGCCAAAGAAGTCTTTGGCAGCGACGGCACTCACTTCGGAACGCTAGTCCAGGCTCCTATTCTTGCCGATATATATATATATATACACACATATATATATGTTAGATAAAGACAGGAGGGAGACCGTCCCGAGTGCCTTCAGCATACTCTTCGCGACCGGGCTGGGCGACCACTCCTGGCCTGGAGCCCAGAAACGCCGACAGAATAGGCCAGAGGGGACACACTCTTAGTATCTCTTCTCGCTGTGTTTTTTTATTGCAAAATTGAGGAATGCTTGCGTTGCAAAGCCTGCCTGAACAGTGATGCTTTTCCCAGGCTGTCAGCACTCGTCAGGACTGGTTTGCGGCTGCAGCCGACAACCGACATGGCGGTTCGCATTGCAATCTTAGCTCCCTGAAGCCTTGTGCCAGGACCGCAGAGACTACAAGATGACCTCGATTTCCGGTGGACGTGTCCTCGAAAGGGTGGGTGGCTGAATTGTGGGCTGCCTGCCATGGCCTTGACCTCGTAGGTCTTGGAATGGCAAGCTTTCGCCATTCCGAGGCCACTGCGGTCCGGCGGCCAGCTGGCAAACTGCCGGCTGAACACTACGAGGCAAGTGAAAAGGAGAGTTGGCTCTTCATGCAAACTCAGAGTAGTATAAACGAGTGTCTGCCCCAAGGTATGCTGCCAAGTAATAGCTGCGCCAGCTTGAGCAGGTCGTTGCGAACCCGAACGTCGACGCAGTGCTGGTGCTGGCCTGCTTCCTCGCCGTCGTAGTCTTCAAGCCCTTCGTTTCAATTCTTCCTTCATTCGGGTTTGACACAGATTCGGTTGCACTTCGGGATATGCTGTATTTGGAGTCAGTTGCTCCGTTCTTACAGATCAAATGGCCACCACGACACACAAATGCATGCCGCGCATTCTTTCACGAGGTCTTCGCAGAGCTCACCGGTTGCAAGATCTGGTGGACGGCTAAGAAACGCAGGTCAGAGCGAAAGAAAGAGAGCCCACTCTGTAGGACAATGCTTTTGAATTGGAGCGGAGTCCCGAGCGGCACTTGGGGCGCGGCATGCCCCATACTGGTCCATACTGATTTCCTCCTGTGTGGGTGCCTACTGAGAGAAGACTCCGAAGATTCTCGACAACCCAAGATAGGGCAACCGTTCTGGTTCTCAGGCCCTGGCCGTGCGTCCGTTGGCGAGAATGCAAACCTGACTGGGCGCTACTGGGGTGACCTGGCAGAAGCTTCTTTTTGCGTTTCGAGCTTGTTCGTCGTGCCATTGACTCGGCCTAGCACTAGATTTGTTTTTCCTTTCTAACATCGTCGTGTCGGAGCTCTGCGAGATGTCTGCACTCACTCAGCAAACATCGACACAGCAAGCAATCTCCGTTGGTGGAGCAGCTGGCGAGCTGCGGTTGCTGATGAGGAAGAAGGAGAGGAAGATGTTAGAAGAGGCAGGTGAGGAGGATTGGGAGCAACGTGTTCTCTCCGACCCGACCAGTCAGTCCTGTAGCCGGAAATGCAAAGCCGAAGGCAAAGGCCGAAGCAGGAGGCATCGGGGGACGCACCGGAAGCCTCCAGACGTAGACCAGCGGTCGGTGAGACTTTTGGAGTGGCTGCAGTGTCTGCTGTTTCGACTGTTTTCCGTGCTCCTCTTCGTAAGGCTACCGAGAGGATTGAGAGCTCAGCTCGTTAGAAGCGCGAGTCTTTTTTCCGACCCAGCATGAAGGGCGGCCTGTGATGGTGAATGTCATTGAATATCAGCTTCTTTGAAATATCAGTGCTGAGTCGATAGTATCCTGTATGGCTGGCCGGCCACCCCTGTTCACTGTTCGCAGATGTTGTACTGAACTCGGACTGCAAAGCGTTGCCTGACTCGGAAATGAAGAGCACTTGTCTTGTCCGTAGGTCTGCCGATGTAAGCAGCTTTCTCAGTGCCCCAATCCAAAAGTCCCAGTGCGAGCAGCCATTGCCCCTCGGTTTGAGCTCTACGGAATGCAGCTCAGCGATGTGTCAGATTAGTGCAGTGTTGGACGCCCCCTGCCAACGGACGAAACTGGCACTAGCAGTGTATTGCCGACACATCGACAAGCAGACAAGCAGACAAGGTGCCTTTAGTATCAGCCAAGCCCCCTTCAAGCTCGATACCTCTCTTTCGTGTTGCCATGGCTTCGGAGACTCCGAACTGGACGGCGCAGACCTCGATCCCAAAGCAACGGATCTGTGACACTTGGATCGACTCCGAGAGCTCTAGAAACTCTAGAGACTCTAGAATTCAATCAGGTGCCACGACCCTGGCGCCAGCTGCCAGAGATCGAGGCTTCACCTGACTCAGGGAGCTCGGCAGATCCGCTGGGAATGTCTGGATTTCTGGGTTCTCAGTGCCAGCTCACAGCTTTCGGCTCGAGCCCCGGCCTAAGCCTTCGCAAGTTCAAGCACCAAAGAGATCGCAGCCTGAGAACTGCCTTGCACCGGCAGCGTACCAAATCGGTGGCCGCCCTGGGCTGATCTTCCTTTCTGCTGCCCCGCGACCCCATCCGTGAGCCGTGAGCTGCGAGCCATGGACCGCTTGCGGCGGATTTCCCGCCACCTCCTTGCCGCTTGCCCCGAACTCGCCTTCGATCTCTAGCGCCTGTCCTTTTTGAGCGGTGCTAGGCCTCTGTTGTTGTTGGTTTCGGGCAGCCAAGGCAGGGGATGAGCTCGGCCTCTCCCCAGAGAGCTGCGCCGCGGCTGCTTCTTCGGCACAGCCATCAGAAGATGCGAAACAAAGGCAGCAGTCAGAAATGCTCCTTGCACCAAGCTTGAGCATGTTTCATCACCTGCCATGTCAGGAAGAGTAAGTTCGTGGACATCATCCGGACCTACATCATGGAAACCCACAGGCACACCACTAGCAGCCGTGAGAGGTCCACTGTTGTGTGGCAATATCCTCGAGGCTTCGGACCACTGGAGAGACGCCATCGATGACTCTGTGTCCTGACATGACTTGACAGATTCTGAAGCCGGCTCTGAGGTGCGTGAGCTTTGCAGTTCTCCCCAGTGTAGCCCAAGGCATGAAGTGCTAATGATGCAGCCTCCGTATTCCAAACGCAGCTCTGAAAGCGTTTGAGAAGTTTCGCAACATGGCGTGGCATGCATTGAAGTTGTTGCTAAAGAGCTTCATGATGGAGACCTCTACTGAGGAACTGGTCTGGGCAAGCAGTTGGAGAAAGCAGAGGCCCCTTGCACCTTCCGCTTGAGCACGTCCGCGAGCGGCTCGCGCAGGCCAAGGGCTACCTGGCAGCGCTCTCGCTGCTGCCTGGACCCTGGGCTGATGCCCAGACACGCGAGGACACCATGGATTGACGGGCGGCGTGCCGGGCTCCACATGAATGCAACCGTGATGACGCTGCGAGCTGTCAAAAGGACAAGCTGCGGCTTTTGGAGCTGGACTGGATGGCACAGCAGGAGGGTATCCAGCTGCAGTGACTTGGCACTTGGCTAGCTGGTGCTTCGGTTTCTGCAGCAGTGGCTATCACTCATCAATTTGACAGGAACTGTCAGTGCCGGGGGTGACCGAGCACGTTTCAAGATAAGTTTATTCCTGGCCCTACGAAAAGAGCACTCATCTCAGCAAGATTGTAGAGCCAGACCTGGTGATTTTCTTCGCCGTCTGCTCGACAGTTCTTCGTGGGCAACGCCATCCCTCAGCAGAGGCAGAATGCACGAGCTGTGAGCTTGCCCATGCCACATACCTGGCCAAACGGTGACCACTCCAAGTCCAATTTCCTGAGTCGCAAGCCCGTCTGTGCTACAAAACCGAACAGCAGCTAACTGGGACAACAGTGCAAGGCATTGGGGTTGCAGAAAGCCAGGAACCCCGCAGCCCTTCAGTTTTGGTTTCTCGTGGCTGTGCCCGTCGCTGGAGCTTGGCCTCTCTGTTGGGTTTGGGCCTGGGCTTTACTTTTGAGTTTATGCTTGGCATGTTGCCGCGGAGAAGCCCGTTCCCGAAACATTCGCGGTCACACGTCGTCGGACGACGGCAGGAACCGCTTGAAGCGTTAGCGCTCGGCTTAATGCATGCCGGATCCAGGCACGGGAGTTCAAAGATCCGGCGCAGAAGTCCAGTCGCACACCATGCCAGACCCATCTGTGCCAGGCGCAAGATGCTGCAAGGATTCGCGGGGAGGCTTTAATTCGCACTGCTGAGAGGAGATACACGGAGCACTTGTGTGTTGTCCTTGTGCTTGTGGATTGCTTGGTTGCGTTGGTAGGAGACCTTTGAGGCCAGCATGCTTGAAAGTGTGAGTGCGCTTGAAAAGTGAACGGCGTCGCTGTTGTTTCGTCGGCTTGTTCTGGCTTGTTGTGCGCCAGCGCGCATGCCGCAGCTTGCCGAGACCGGTGCTTGTGAAATGGCGCGCACTTCAGCGCTGGGCATGGCAAGTTTCGTTCGTGACGGCGAGATCTGGAGCGGCGTCCGCAATGGAGCCTTGGCATGTCCGCTCTGGCCCTGGCATGGGCTCGAGCATCAACTGGTTGGGTGTCCACACCATTTCGGAACCGGGCCTGCGTGCATCCAAAGGTTGGACACGCGTGGCTCGACCGTCGCAACGCAAATGCTGCGTGACAAAATGCTGTCGAGTCCTACGGTAACGATCATAGTGTTCACCTTCAGCGATGCAACGCAGCTGCTACCGCTGTGGCACATCACAAATGCGAAACCGGACTGGTTGTTTCGACCAGCAGTCGGCGTCGAACATCGATGCTCGGTGTGTCGATCTCGGCGAGTGTCGGAAATCACAACGCTGCAACCAAGTAAACGGTGCCGACAGCATCAGCCTTCACCGTTCGCTGAATAGCATGCACTCCGAAAGTTTTGTGGTACCCCGGCGCTCTGGCCGTGCATCCGCTTCTCGGAAGCGAATCTAAGGCTCTATGCGGCCTACCAGGAACGCCTCCCAGCAGCAATTCAGCAAGGGCATGAGGCCAGAGAATGAGGCGATGATACATCGACGAATGCCCTGGTGGGGTAGCTTTTGTGGCAAATACCGACCACATGTCCCGCATTGCCATCCATGGCCCGCATCAGCATGGGGATTGCTCTCACACGATTGTTTCTGACGTGAGGTTATGGTGACAAAGGTCTTGGAAGCAACATTGTGGTTCCGTCGGTCGTCATGCACAGTAAAGTCACGGAGAAGATCACTCCAGAGAAGCAGTTAACGCCCTTGGACAGCGCGATTGCGGGGAACTCAGAACCTCTTTCTAGGCCAGGCAACGACCACAAGTTCCCACGCATGATCGTGGATTGATGTAGACTCCACATTCCGCATGCAAGGTGCAGAGGATCGTGGCGCGTGTCATTGTTGCTGATCCTGAAGATGCTGAGCGAGTCGCACGCATTCACGTGCGCAAGGAGCCGAACTTCGGAGGCTCGTTGACTGCACAGCCATGGCCATGCCATAGCTTCTTCTTGTAGACGGGAGCTTTCAAAACAGGTGTAGTCAAAATAAGGCAGATCATATTACATGCATTTTGCAAGAGCAGTTCGTGCGCACCCGTGAATGGAGTGCATCGCTTCAAGATCACATGCATTCGCCAGTCCTCATGGACAGCATCATCTCGACCACAGACAATGAGCTTCTTGTCGCAAATTCTGCTGGTTGTTCTTTCGCTCTCGATCTAAATGTGTGATTTTGAAACTAACTTCGCATTTGCTGGCAGTTTGCCGAGGCATTGGCGGGAGCAACGACAGCATCTTGTCGAGGCCTTCCTCCCTCTCTCGTTTTGGCCTCATTCCGCTGCTTGCAAACCTATGTCACTAGTTTTTATATATGTAAGCCTGTAGTCAGGTACGTCATCATGTGTGTAGTTAGGTATGTATTTGGGCATGTAGCTATGAATGTCTGAATGTCTGTATGTCTGCAAGTCTGTATATCTGCACGTGTGTAGGTATGTATGTACGCATGTATGTATATACGTACGTATGTATGATATGCATGCATGCATGTATGCGTGTAGGTAGAAGGGGTAGGTATGTAGGTAAATAGGTAGGTAGGTCGGTCGGTGGGTGGGTGGGTGGGTGGGTGGGTGGGGTTAGGTGTGTGTGTGTGTGTTGTCCCAGCGCGTGCATGTGTGTGTGTGTGTCGGTCGTGTGTGTGTGTGTGTGCGCGCTTGCGTGTGTTTGTATGCATGTGCGTATGTATGGATGGTATGGATGGTATGTATGGTATGTATGATCTGTCTAGTGCGTACGGCGTGTATATGTGCAAGATGGACAAAATGATAATTAGATAGGTAGATGATAAATAGGTAGATAGGTAGATTCGTAGGTAGATAGACAGATAGATAGATAGATTCACGGATCCATAGAGAATTAAGCAAGTGAGCAAGTAAATGCAGGGCAGTACGTAAGTAAGGCGGGAAGGAAGCAAAGAAAGAAGGAATAAAGGGACGAAGGAAGGAACGAAGGAAGGAAGGAACGACGTACAGGAAGAACAGAAAGAAAGCAATAAGCAAGCTCGTGAGTAAGAAGCGCAGGAAGGAAACGAAGAGAGAGCATCGAGACACAGACAAAGTAGGTAAGCAAGTAGGTATGCAAGCAGGCAGACTGGTAAGCAAGCCAGCAAGCATGCAAGTGCATGAGTATGCAGGTAAGCATGTAAGTAAGTTCTTCAGTAAGGCGGTCAGTGAGCCAGTACGCAAGTACTCGTAAAGTAGGCAAGCAATAAAATCCGAGCCCCAAGCAAAAGAGCTGGCTGAGGTCGCTCGCGGAGATATTGCCAGTGTCCCTTGCACGTGCAAAGGCCCAGCATGCTCGGGTAGGTCAGGTGGAGGTTATCGTACAGCGGCCAGGCCGTAGCAACATGGAAGAAGAGCTGCAGGACTGTGCCAATCGATTGGGCAGCCTGGCCAAAGACGGGCAGCCGGTCGACATGAGCGATTTCTTGTTGCCACGTGTCTGCAAGAACTGTGTCCGCACCGTGTGACTGTGTCAGTCATCGCTTGCCTAGAGTCGGAACCTTACAGGGAGCAGAATCGAGGCACGAAGCACAGGCCCAACTGCAGCTGGCCCTTTTGGGAGCACCGGAGTCCTTGATGGAGGAGACCAACCAAGGCCGTTTGCCGTTGTAGCCGTATTATAGACCGTGAAGCACACCCATGGGAGTCTGCATGACTGTATTCTGGCTTAGGCATTCGGAAGACCTTCATGTTCCATCCAGACGCCAAACTCGGCGACCTGAGCAATGCGATGTGCATCAGCCGCAATCAGCCACGATAAGACCTGCAGCATGCAATATCATGTAATCTGCGGCCTCTGAATGTCGGCTTGTTGTGGGCCCGAGAAACTGGCGCCAGAAAATCTGAGGAAGGAACTCATGAAGGTGGCACAAGAGGATCGAACTTTAGGCCATCTGCTGCCATCTACATAGTATCCGACGCCGTTTGACATGCAGACTGTCATGGTGCAACATTGAGGGAAGGTGGAGCCCGAACTCTGGATTGCAGGCCTTCCTTCCGACGGATGTCCTGTAAGAGGCACGACGGGAGTAAGACGACCATAAACTGTCGGCGCTGAGAGCAGTCGTCACTGATGTATGTGGCAGGACCCTTATCAAGGGCCTTGCAGACAGGGAATTTCCATGCAAGCACTGACTACGGGAATCTTGTCAGACAAGATGCCTCAGTCAAAGAAGCCGTTCCTTGCAAGAGCTGATGCTGTCACTCAGACTCTAAGGAACCTGCTTTTGATCCTCTTTGCTGGCCATGACACCACAGGTGAGATGCTGCAAAATGTCAGACTGAATGAAGTGCTCGGCATGCTTGAGAGGTCACACCATGACTTGGTTGACCTTCGAGCTTGCCCGCCATCCGGACATACAGCGCAAGGTGCAGGCCTGTCAGGGCTACAGCGACCGACACGCCTTTGGCGTGATGTACTGTTCTTGTGAGAAGGAGGAAGTGGACCACTTCTTCCGGTGCCTGAATGGGCGTGACCCAACCTACCAGGATGTGGGGCACAGGGCGGCATAGGGTTCATGGAGAAGGTGGATGCATTCATTTGTTTTCTTGTGACAGTATTTGCAGCTTAAAGCCATCTAGACACATGGGACTGATCCCTTGTGAACAATATGCCTTCAGGACTTGAGCAAGTTTGATGTCTTGGACCGATGCATCACAGAGTGCAGCCCTCGGAATGGTTTTTGGTCCCGGACTCGCGTAATAGTTCTGCCGTGTCTTCTCTGCAAATCTAAGGACGCTTCGCTTGTGGCCTGCTGTGGCAAATGGCACCTTCAGACAACTGCAGCGGGGTGCTTGGCTATAGCCAGGGGCACTCATCGAAAGAAGACAGGTACTGGCGGTACTGGTGCAGTCGCCCAGGTTTGCAGAAGAGCTCAGGGCCAACGGTGAAAGCAAGGCCATCGGGGCAAGTGCAGGTGCTGTCAATGTGCCTGAGAAGTGCCGTGTTGATCCCATCTCTATGTCTCCCGCATGCTTGATAGGTCACTCTTCCCAAGGGCACGTTTGTGACCATCAGCAACTGGTAGTCGTCTCAGCGAAACGGTGTGGGTGTATACCGGCGTCACTTGACATCATGGTCAGCGGCTAGCCGGTGATGCACGTCTCATTGCAGTTGCCTGTCTGGCGGATTCCATGCAGGTGTCGTCACCGCAACCCAGAGCTTTGGGGAGCCGACGCGGAGACTCCACATCGAATCCATACATTGCCCGGTGATTCCAAAGGACACCAAGAAAATCTGCGTCACTTTTGTCTGCCAAGTGACGCCAAGGACAGCTTCAACCCTTGGCGGAGCTTCGCCTCTGAGGCCAGACGAAAAGGGGAGCGACAGCGAAGGGCGGGGGGACCGCGAATGTGTTTGTGTCAGTCTGGGAGGAGCTCGCCCGCGTGGGCTGCCCCATGGCCGCCCGCACGCCGCAGTCCGCCCGCTTCTCGCCTTTTGCCCACAACCCCCGCAGCTGCTTGGGAAAGAACTTTGCACAGATGGCTTCTTGGCTCACGCTGGAAAAAGCTGTGCCACGGGCATCATGTGTTGGGCACGTGCGTTGGCTCACTCGAGAAGGGGTGATATTTGTCGGACGTCTGACCTTTTCTCCTTAGTGAACTGACGCATGGAAGCTCGGCTGAGGAAATGAGACTGATACTGTCCTACTTGTTCCACAAGTTCAGCTTTGCCCTGGCGCCACCCTACGACGCCCTTATGGATACAACCACCAAGGCCGAAGTTGCTTGTTATCTACAAGCATCAGCGCCTGCAGATTGACGATCACAAGACTCGTGTCGAGGCATCGGACACCAATCCCAGGACCTTTCGTGGCATCAACTCGGGTGGCACCATGGGGCCCATGGACCTTGAGCATGGAGGCTGGCGAAAAAACTTGCTGGATGCAATCTTAAGTGGACATGGCATCTTTCGGTTTTGTCGCCGCTAGGTTCTGTTTCGGAGGATGAGCGCTTCCTGGTTGCGATGAAGCTGCGCGTCACTCCCAGGAGTTGATCTGACGGGCGGCAGCGGGGCTTCCGGGATTTGGCGACATGATACCACTCCGCGAAGCCCGCGCAAGTCTTGCAAGAGGCTTGCCACAGCGCAACGTGCTGCGGCATTCTTCTATGCTGTTCAGTGGTGCGGCAGTCCTTTGAGATTCCTGTCTACTCCTGGACTCAATCGTTCATGAACGGGCACAGTTCTTGTGGAAAGCGGGGCTTGGACAGTCTTCTGGCTAATGTGCGGGCATGACTGTTAGGGCTCTCACAGCGACCTCTGAAGACTGGTCAGTTATCGGCACGGCGATAGCTATAAGACAAGAATGGGTTATAAGACCAGCTTCACCAGCTTCAGGGCTCGGATGGGCACTGAGTCGCTTTGAAGTCTGCCTTTTGTGTAGACGGTCTCAGGGCTCATCCCAGTTTGGGTTCCCTTGCCGGGAACCCAAAACGGGCACTGTCTGGAAGTGCTTGTTTGGAGCTGCCAAGACGTGCTTTGCTTCCAGAGAACAAAACCGCCAATTGAGGGGTCGCTGGCAGATCGTCTATCGCCATAGCGAAGCGGCCCGTGGCAGAGCGAACAGGTTGCGCCCACAAGCGCTCAAGCTCAATGGCATGCTCGACATCGCAGAGCATCAGATGTCCAGGTCGGCTAGCTGAGATGCTGCCTGCAACAGTGGAAGTCATGTGACCTGCCAGGACACTCTGTACGAAAGCTGCGAGGGTGAATTCGTCAGCAATCGTGGAGAGCAAGCAGGTCTCTATGGTTCCCAAGCCGCGACCTCAAGAATGGCAGCATTCCACACCAGCTTGTTGGACATGAAGACGCGGGAATGCACCAACCAGCAGAATCATGAGCTCCGACACGTTGCGCAGACCAGGGCTCAAAAAAGACAGGAGTTTCCTTCAAGTTTCAGCCTTCCTGACCTTTTTGCCTCTACAATTTTGGCACCATGGCGGCCACAGGCATCGAGTTGCGGGGGCTGCGGAATTGGCCAAATCTTTGACAGTCCTTTGCCCTGGCAGGAACTGTGATGAAGGTGTCCGGCCCCTTGGTGGTCGCTGAAAACATGTCAGGCACGAAGATGTACGAGGCGAGGATGACTATCAAGCATTTGGCGATGTCCCTTCAATCCCTTCAGCCGTGGGTGTTTCTCTGCAGGTGGTCCGAGTGGGCAAGGACCGGCTGGTGGGTGAGATCATCCGGCTCGAGGGCGACACGGCGAGTATCCAGGTGTACGAGGTCGGGTCGGGGCATGAGAGAGGGGCTGTTGCTAGGTTTCGTTTTGAGCGCCTGCATGCCGAGATGTTTGTGGACAGGATACCTCTGGCTTGACAGTTGGCGACCCCTTGGTGAAGACGGGCTTGCCGCTTTCCCTGGAGTTGGGTCCTGGAATCCTTGACGGAATCTATGCAGCTCGCCAGTAGAGCAAAGATTCGCAACGACGAGATGTGATGAACAAGTCAATAACGTTTCTGCGTCTTGAATCAAGGACGGCATCCAGCGACCACTGGAGCGAATTCAGCAGCTTGCACAGAGCGTCTTCGTCCCGCGAGGGGTAGATGTGCCAAACCTGGATCGCGAGAAGCAGTGGGACTATACGCCAGAGAACAACATCAAGGCAGTTTGAGTCGGAGGTGAATCAGATCAGACAAGTTTATCGTAATTTGTCAGAGTTGTGTTGCTATGACCGTCCGCGACAACTCGCGAACGTTTGGCCCTTGCGAGGTGGGCGACCTTGTCACCGGAGGTGATGTCGTCGGCGTGGTTCGAGAGAACGGGTGTCATGCCGGCAAGAGGGGTTGCTGATGCTCTGATACACTGTGAACTCCTCTGAATGTGCCTCTTGTCTTGTTCACTTGGCTCTGAAGCATGGGTAAGAGAATTCGACTCGTCACAGTCTTTTCCAGAGCTTGCCGGGGTCAACTGAAAGTCTCAGGCTCTTCAAGAGACACATGATCATGGTTCCCCCTGGCGTGAAGGGACGTGCCGTGGCAACGTTGGGCAAAAGAGGGAACAGCATGGAACAACTCAACAGCCTTTTTGTTAATCCTGCACACGTGTGCAAAGCTGAGGCGTGACCAAGGTGATGCCTGCGGGCAAGTATACAGTCCAGACGGCTGTGGTAGAGGTTGAAGAGTCCGGAAAAGCGATGAAGGTCGAGCTGTTCCAGCGACTTGGCAAAGCTGAACTTTCAAGCCGCGGAAAAAAATGGGGGGTCGGCAGTTTGAGAATGGTAGAGATCTGGACACGAAGGAGATGGCCAGTGCGAGAGGCACGACCTGTTGTGGAGCTCCTTGGCACATTCACAGAGCACAATGCCCCCAACTGCTGTACCGCCTGCAGTTTGCATCGTGCCCTGATCCCATCGTTATGCTAATCCCAGGAAGCTCCAGGGTAAGGAAGCCCTGCTTACCTGCGAGCGCGTGGCTTGGATGGACCAGTTGTTAGCCGTTTCAGCACCAGCAAAGAAGAAAAGACAAGCATCACACATGGGTCAGTTAGCAGCAGCAACCACGCATGAGTGCTGTCAGAGTGAGAGAGAGAGAGAGAGAGAGAGAGAGGAGAGTTGCCCTTCCCTTCCGAAAGAAAGAGGGCAAGTTGGTGCCGGCAAGTGAGCCAAGTAGGGAGTTGCCTTGCAGTCATGTTGAAGGTAAGGAGTGTTTGCTTGTGTGTACCGGCACCAGAGACAATCATCGCAGAGTGGAGCTCGAGCGGGTGGCGCAGCGTTGAACGCGGAGTGGAGGACCCAGGTGAACACAGAGTGGGTTTTATGGTCATGGCCTTAGGAGGGGTGTTCTTTCGGGGGGTGTTGACTGTGCTCACCTGGAAGGAACACTTCTGCAAGCCCCAAAAAGGGGATCCGACAGAGACGGGAACCGTTGTGGGGTTGGCCTTCGGGCCGGGGGTCTAGGCCCCAAACGCCTAGCAAGCAAGCAAGCAAGAGAGAATTTTGACCCTTCGAAAGAAGAGAGAATTTTGGAAGGAAGAAGAAGAAGAGAGAATTTTGGCTGGCCAGACGAGGACCCAGACCCAGCAACAAATTAGCAGGCCGGGGGTTACGCCGACTCCTTGATGCAACGACAACAACCGCAACCTAAACCCCTCGGGGGAACAATCCCCGCCGCCTCCTTCGGAGTCTACCACATGGATGTCGGTTCAGACCAATTTCCAGGCGGGAAAAACGGTCGAGGGCATCCTGGGGCTCCCGCACAAAATTCTTGACGACCTCCTCCAACAGACTTACCTCCAGAGACGAGAGTACGCTACGCATCCTGCCTGCCATGCATGCTTCTATTCGGGCAAGCTCCAGGCCGTAATGCCGCCAACCGAGATCAGGGGGATAAACCCATGGAGAGTTCTTCAGCCGTCCCCGCCACGGTCATGGACCCGACGTCTGACCCAAACAACAGCAGCGAGGACGAAGAGGACGACTGATCGCACAACAGTGACAAGACCCAGAACCGAAGCCACAGGGCAACCACCTTTTTCGTTCAGGTTCCGTTGTCTACAGGAGGTTCTGAGGGGCTTTGCTTCGGGTAGTGTGCTTTGATTCTGTCCCTCTTCCTTAGGTGAGCCTGAAAGTGGACTTCTACCATTGTTAGTTCCATGTACCACTTCTGCGCCGTAGTTTTTCGACTCAGGGCTCGCCTCCACTGAAAGCTTTGACCCAGGGGTAGGCCCCCCCTGCTCCCAGCAACCTTTGCCTGAATCGGGGAACATCCCTGCTGGATGCACCCCCGTTCAGGTTCGCCATTGTCTTCAGGAGGTTGCATGCTGGGTTCCTGTTGTCGCTTTACGGGTCATTCTACTGTAAGCTACGAGAATGCATCGGAGCGAAGTGGGCAGCAGCACTTGCTATTGAAGCCGTAATTTTGTTTGTGGTTCCAAAAAATCTGTGCCCTTTGGTGTGCAGCCAGAGTCTGGGGAAGAACCCCAGTGGATTCCACTCTGCCGCTGAAGAGTGTCACTGGTCTCTGCCTTTATGGACTTTGTGTCAATGTGTGTCTTTGATTATTCGGGGTGCTTGTTCCCTTGTTTGCTGTTTCTGCAGATGAACGGTCCTGGACGAAATACTGTCGTCGGATGCTGCCCTACCTGCTCGCCCACCCGCCCGACTACCTGAAAAAACACCCCGACCACCAGTACGTGAACCTGCTCCTGCAGAACAACAACCTCCACAGAGGCCACTTCAACAAAATGCAAAAAGGAGGAGATGACCCACTTGGCTAGGGGAGGACCCCTGCGACGTCAGCGAGTACCACTAGACCATGCCATGACGGGGAATCCCCAGCTGAGTGAGGGGGAGATGCTTAATTCACCACATGTCGCCGGTTTTGTAAATGCCAAATTTTGCCTGTACATCAGGCCGAAAGGCGTTCTCTCCATGCTTTCAATTGCCGGAACGGACAGCGCAGCTCCTCCTGCCTTCTTTGTCCAGGTAAAAAAAAGGAAACAGTGTGGAAACAGCACTTCCGTCATGTACAGTGTAGACCTGGCACCCGAACACGTTCAGCAGTTCAGCCGAAGCTCAGCCGACCGCTTGACCAACCGCGATGGCTCAAGCTTGCAAAAGCGTGTTTGAGCACCAGTGCATTTGCACTGGTAGCGGAGCATACGCTCCAGGGGCCGCCGGCCCTACAGCCTTTTCATGCTATGGCATCCGGTAGCGTGCTGGATGGCCTTCGCTTTCAGCGCTTCCTGGCAGATGATGACGCCACGGGGGCGCCTGCCTCAACCACTGAGGGCAGGTATGGAGTACCAAGGTACAACGGAGATCCTAGCCGTTTGAACGAATGGATCTTTCGTGCCCGCACCCTGGAACGCAAGGAGAGCGCACTGACCGAGGAGCAGAAGAAGCTTGGTCCCCTCACCTTGAGGTTGATCGAGTGCTTTACCGGCCAGGCTCTCAAGATTGCCCAGGGGCTTGACATGGCGAAGCTCGAGAAGCCGGAGACCGGCCTGAACTACCTGATCGACGCCCTGTCTGGGGAGCTTCGCCCACGTCGCCTCCAACAAGCCAGAGAGTTGTATGAAGCAGGAGCACAGACGGGCGGAATATTGGCCCGGCACCACGTGGAGAGTATGGGACAGTATGTTCTACGACGCCGAGCGTGGTACCGAGCCATGGTGGATCTGAACGAGGAACTGAAGTTGCCCGACTTGATCCTCTCCGAACAGCTGCTCAACAACGCTGGCTTGACGCCCGACCAGAAGCTCATGATACGAACAGCAATTGGAGGAGACATGAAGTTTGACAGAGTGGCCCAGGAGCTGTTGGCGCAGCACCCTCATATCCATGAAAGAGCGCTACAGCATCCCGGCCACCACCGACGACCCTTCGGAGACCTTCGAGGACATCCTTCGGGACATCGAGCTGGGTATGGAAAGGGGCCGAACCACTACAAGGCCGCCCACCATGGCAAACCACGTTTCCATGCCTTTACTGCCGAGAATGACACCGCCGACTACCCGGAGGAGTTCTACTATGAGGACGCGGCCAACCACGACGAGGAAGCGCAGGGCTATTTTGGACAAGAAGATGGTGATCCTTTGGAGCCCTACGAGATCGGCACGTTCGCTGAAGAGCACTTGGCTTTCCTCGCCGAGAACGGCCTCGACCTCGAGGACCCGGAGGCTTGTGAGTATGCAGCGGAGATGGTGCAGTCTCAGGAAGAGGCTTACTTTGCCGGGAAGCAAGCAAGGACAAAAGGGCACGCCGGGTTTCGAGGACCCCAGTTCGAGCTCTCCGGCAGCTTCACCCTCGATGAGAAGAAGGCGAAGCTACAGGCTTTGAAGGCCCGCACCACGTGCAAGCGCTGCGGTGCCGTAGGGCACTGAAGTGGAGATGCAGTTTGCCCTCTACAGAAGGGCAAGGGCAAACCCAAGGGTGGCAAGGGAAAATCCTCTACGAGCACAACGAGCACTTCGCCGCCTTCGGGCGGAAAGGGCAAGCCACATGGAGCGGCTAAGCCCCGCACGGTCTACTTTTCCATATCTGAGGAGACCCAAGCTGACCCTTTTGCCAGTCTTGCCCTACGACGCGATCCACCACAAGAGTTGAAGGCGCTGCCACCCTCCTATCGTGCCGTGCCACCGCCGACCAGCCTACAGGAGACGACCACGGATCCGGACAGCCCCGGACACTGGAGCTTGGTGGCCAACGACGAGTACCAGGAGGAGCAGCGGCTAGCGTCAGCAGGGATATGGGAGCCCATGGAGACAGAGGACCACGAGTGGAACCAGCTTGTGCAGGCGCTGGGGCCACCTGACGTGGCCGCACCACTGCCCGACTCCGAGACGAATGCAACTGGGTGTTCGACACGATGGGCGGTAGATGACCTACGTGTGCCTACTGGACCGCCGGCAACGACATCTACCACCAGCCCACCTGGTCCGATGACCTCCTCTACTACGACTGTGCCCGGACCAAGGTCTACTGCGATGCCGACGCCTACGAGACCCTCTACGGCAGTACCTCAGGTGCAGGAACGAGTGCAATTCCGAGAGTGCACCCATCGGAATGTTACCGCAGCCGGCTCCACTGCCCACTACCACCAAACAAAGTGCAAGGACTGCGGTATGCTGCTGACGCGTACGAAAAGGGACACTGGACCGCCGTCTACGACGACACCGACCTCTACCACATCGGCCTGCCAGCACCATTGGGCGACCTGGAAAGGGTCGAATGGGGTGATGCGGATCAGGACCTGCCTCACCTGTGGATATCGTGAGCGGTTCAAGCTTGGAGCTGAGGGCGCAACCGCATCAACTACAACCCCTTTGACTACCTCGCGGCCAGGAACAGCTCATGATGGAGTGCAGTTGCAACGCGAGCAGGTGCTGAGGGTGGTGGATACTTATGTGCAGCTGATTCAGCAACGGACCGCGGACATGGGCGCCACCGTTCCTGTGCAACGTCTACATGAAGAACTCGACCTTGCGGTAGCAGCCAACCTCACCTGGGCCGAACCTCGGCCCGCTCCTACGTCGGCATCTTCAGGCTACCCTTCGTCTCCGCCTACTACCTCTGGAGCGGGTAGCTGGACTATGACAACACCGCCTAGAATGCCGACATCCGGAACCGCCGCCAACAGCCACACCCCGGAGATTCACCGTGGACATTTACAAGCACGGGGGCAAAAGATTGTGGAAGCCGGACGATACAAACACTCCGTCTACGACGTGGCCTACCAGGACGAGAACTGCCGCAATTGGGTGATCCAGAACATCGGAGAGAACAGCCACTCGAGTATGAAGGCGCTGAAGCAATACTTCCTTGAGCGCAACGGCTTCCACCGGGAGAACCCGCAGATGGCCCTCATGGCATTTGGAGCGGAAGGGTTTCCCGAGGGCGACTTGGTGGCTATTCTGGATACAGGATGCAATCAAACCTGCCATGGATCAAGATGGCTGGAGCGCTACATGAACAGCACCGGCCAGGATATGCCCAACCTAGATGAGAATGACCTCGGAAGCTTCCGAGGAATCAACGGACGTGTGAGGATCAATGGGACTCGCCACATCCACCTGTGCCTCGAGCTGGTCAACGGAGGACTGGCCCAGGGCGATCTGCGCAGCACGGAGCTCTGTGACTCAGACGCTCCACTGCTCCTATCCGTGCAGGCACAGAAGGCGCTGGGGCTTATCATCGACGTGGCCGGCGAGGTCGTGCACTCACAGGCGCTCGGACAAGATCTCAAGCTGGTGTACAAGGACGGCCTCCTCGCGATACGGCTTCTACCTGGAGACTTGGCGGAAATTCCCGATGAGGAAATGGAGAACACACCGGATCTACCACCATCCGGAGGACCGGAGCCTCCTGCCACCACAACGACCACTGTGCCTACGCCTGCGACGGACTCTACAGGATGGGAGATTGTGGACCCGGAGGAGGAACAGCCGGAATGCGACATCGGCTACTTCGCGGTGGACAATGAGCAGCCACACGTCATGAGCAAGCAGCAGCACACGCGGGTGAAGGAAGGCACAGCGGCTGTACGAGCACGAGATCGACACCTATGGAGTCAAGTCCGCCCTTTTCGTCACAGAAGGAGTGCCGAACTGCCGCGAGGGTGCCGCACCTTTCTTCTCGAGATCTTCGCTGGAGCTGCCATTTTGACGCAAGTGGCATACCAGGACTGGGGGCTCCCTGTCTCCAATCCGGTCGACCTCAACACCGGCTTCGACCTGTTGACCTACGAAGGGAGAAGGACGACCCCTACGCCATCTCCTTTGCACCTGTGTGTACACCATGGACGTCTTGGACGAACCTGCTTACAGGAGAGGCTCGCAACAAGGTGATGATGACGAGAAAAAGATGGCAGCCGGTGATCAAGTGGATGTATGGCGTGGTGGAACAACGACTTTCCAAGGGTCGACATGTACTGGTTGAGAACCCGTGGAACTCGGCTATGTGGGACACCAAACAGTCGCAAAGCCTCTTCAACAAGCAGTTGACCGACAGTGCCACCTTGGAGCCGCTGGAGTGCGTCAAGGTGGACCAATGCAGCGTAGGGCTATGCGACACTATCAACGGACTTCCTCACCTCAAGCCCACCGGGTTTCTCACCGCGTCCTACCATGTCAAAACCGAGCTGGCACATTGCCGATGCCCAGGCGACCACCAACATCAACAGCTGGACTCCAAACTACGTTGTCAACGAGCACAGCAGTGGCCGAAACAGCTATGCGAGATCATCATTGGTGGTTGGGTCAGAGAGCTGGAGTATTGCTACTCCATGACAGCTTTCCCGGCGGAGGCAGAGCAAGAAGTTGGTGACAGTGATGAGGAAGACTCTGGTGGAAATCTGGATGCAATCCACGAACCTGGTGATTTCGTTCCCGGCATCAGCGCCCCTGATATCACCTTACCGGACTATGCCGAGAAGAAGGAACAGGAACAAATGGAGATCATCCATGAGGAGACACCACAGCCACCACCACCTTCGCCGGAAGGCCATGCTATGCAAAGCCGGCAACGACTCTGGAAGCAACTCCCTTACACTACTCGTGTAGCTCTTCGACGTTTGCACAACATGACCGGCCACGCACCGCCATCAGCCATGCAGCGGCTTTTACGGACCGCTGGAGCGGATCCAGATGCTATACGAGGCCTTGACAACTTTCGTTGCCAGGTGTGTGAGGAGAAGAAGAAGCCGCAGCGACCAGCAGCCGTGAAGATGCCGGAGGAGTACCGCTTTAACAAGGCGATATCACTCGACGTGATGGTCGTGAAGGATGCGATTGGACGGCGCTACAAGGTGATGTCCATTGTCGACCTGGGCACCCTCTTCCATGTGGCCGTCATTGTCGGAGAAGGTGCAGGGCCGCCTGGATCTGGAGACATGGCCCATGCACTGAGCACATGCTGGCTCAACTGGGCCGGCATACCCGACAGCATCGTCCTGGACCGAGGTCTTGAGAACCGAGGAAAGCTACAACAGCTAGTGAAGGCCCACGGCGTACTCCTACGCTACATCGGCGTGGAGAGTGCATATCAACTGGGGCGAGGAGAACGGCAAGGAGGCATCCTCAAGGAGGTGATCAAGACAACCGTCATGTCGAGACAGTTGCGAGGACGACAGAATATGGAGTTTGTCGTCACTGAGGCCGTCAGCATCAAGAACCACCGCATCAACCACAACGGCTTCTCTCCAGCACAATGGGTGCTGGGACGCAATCCACCGGAGATCGACGCCCTCACCAACCTCGACAGCCAGGCACGGCTAGGGACACACCAGGAGATCCTCGATGGCGAAAGCGCGTTTGCTCAACAGATGATGGTCCGAGGAGCCGCACGGGAGTCGTTCGCTCAAGTGGACTCGTCACAGAGGATCAGGTCGTCTCTTCTCCGGAAGAGCGTGCCAACTCGTGGACCCTACCTCATGGGCGACCTCGTCTGCTACTACAAACGTCAAGGAGCTCATCGACAGTGGAAATGGTATGGCCCGGCCAGGGTGATTGGCCAAGAAGGCAAGGGTACGCTGTGGATTGTTCACGGTGGAGTTCCTCTTACAGTGTCGGTGGAACAATGCCGACATGCGACAGGGAACGAGATGCTGGCCAAGAGGGTCATGGAACTACGACCTTCGAGGAAGCGAAGACGAGAGGACATGGAGGCTGGAGCACCACTCGAGATGGGAGGAGCAAATGATGATGAGGAGCCCTTCGTTGACGACCTGGTGGGAGTTGGAGGACCACCGGGGAATGAGCAGCCTGGCTTCTTCGATATGAGAGGCCGAGGGGGAGCCGAACAGGAGACTCACGAACCTCATCTACCACCACCTGGACTTTCCGCGGCGTCCACAGCATCAGCCGTGGCACAACCGCAACCAACAGTTGCGCCGGCTTTGCCACCTCCGACGGAGACGATGCTACAAGACGACGAGGAGTTAGATACTCCTGTAAATGCCGAGCAGGAGATTCGCGAACCTCATCTACCACCACCTGGACTTTCCGTGGCCACAGCCAATATGCCTAGGACCGCACAAGAGGGGGGCCCAGAGAATGTTGCAGGACAGCCGTCGTCTAGCTCGTCATCTGTCCATGAACCAGAACAGGAGATCGCACCGCCCAGCCGACGTACAAGCATGGTCACCGAGAATGCACCAGGCACAACAGCTTCTACCCGGACGTTGACTCAGCTACAGACTGCCATACACAGGTCCGTTGACGCTTTGGATGGAATGCCCAGGAAGAGGTCTAGATCGCCACGCGGGCTTCTCGCCACCGGACCCACAATGGAGTTCGACAGAGGCTTTCACGGCTTCTTGGCACGGAGGGTCAACAAGAAGAGTGCCGCTGCCCGATCCAAGGAGCTGCACTATCACAAGGTTCCCGATGATGTGAGACAGGGGATCGATGGAGCACGACTCAAGGAATGGGGCAATTGGCAAGGGTTTGATGCAGTGGAGATCATCAAGCCGGAGGATGTTGACCAGTTTCTTCGAGACAATGATGGCATCGAAGTCACGCCCACTAGGTGGGTTGACAATAACAAAGCGCAACCGTGGGAAAGTCCACGTTATAAATCGAGGATAGTCGTGCGAGGAGACTTAGAAAGTGGCGCAGAAGGGGCTCGCACAGACAGCCCCACAGCATCGTCGATGATGTTCAACCTGCTCCTGAGCATCACGGCCAACAAGAAGTGGCGACTACGTGGAGGAGACATTACTGCCTCCTGCCTCCAAGGCGACGTGATCATTCGTACACTTGTACTACGACCTCCACCTGGAGGGTTGCCTGGAGTACCGCCGGGATCTCTACTACGAGCACACAAGCCCGTGTACGGCACAAAGGACGCACCCCGGGGATTCTGGAAAAGGCTGCATCGTGTAGCCTTGTCCAAGGGCCTCCGAGCGGTACCTGGGGAGCATGCAGCCTACATCCTTCAAGATGCCCAAGCTGGAATTCAAGGTCTCGTTATTGCTCATGTAGATGACCTACTATGGAGTGGGACACCAGCCATGGATGCAGTCATGGACGAGATCATCAAGGAATTCAAGTTTGGGGCATTGGAGTTTGGAAGCAAGTTCGAATATTGTGGAAGAACAGTGGAGCAAGGCGAACTTGGCATCGCTGTCACATGTCCTCACAACGCTGCAAAAGTACGCCCGATATATGTGGATGCAGCAAGGAGAAAGCAGCGGGACCACCATGTGACGGAGCAAGAGAGGAACCAGCTACGAAGTGTGGTTGGAAGCCTGAATTGGCTTGTGCGAGTTTGCAGATTGGACATTGCTTATGAAGTCCATCGATTGCAAGCAGTGATGCAAAAGGCGTTGGTGGAGGACCTCATCAATTGCAACCAGATCCTGAACTACGTGAAGAAGACACCGGACAAGGGAATGTTTTTCAAGTATGAGGCCTTCGATGTCAATGACATGACGATCTACAGCATCACGGATGCCAGCCATGGCGCCGACTACGACATCGGCAAGAATGGGGAGCCTCTCGGAAATCGCTCTCAGTCAGGGAGGATCCTCATGGTGGGACCGAGCACCCTGGAGACTACCGGCGAGGGGACAGTGCACGTCCTGGAGTACCACAGCTCGGTCATCAGACGAGTGTGTCGTTCGACACTCCAAGCGGAAACGCTGAGCATGGTGCTTGGGTATGAAAATGCAGAGCATTTACGTGCAGTATTGTACGGAATGGAACATGGTGGAGACAAGCCAGATCTTGTACGAGCTATGGATGCCAGAAAAGTGGTTCTCTTCACAGATTGCAAGAGTCTGGAACAGCATCTTCGTCAACCAGGCCTACATACCGTGGGGGATAAACGTCTCGCTATAGACCTGAGTGCCTTGAGACAGCTGATTTGGCGACTACCTGGAGAAGATGTGGGAGACCCAATGCTTGCAGATGCCCCACCGCAGACAGCAACAACGACAACAAAGTGGATCGACACTGCGACGATGATCGCAGATGGGCTCACGAAGCGAATGAAGAGTGCACAGATCGATGACTTGATGAAGAGCGGAAAAGCCGCACTCAGCTTCGTGAAACTTCATATTTCCAGTTCGGTGCCAGAAAAATAATACGAGTGTGGAAACAGCACTTCCGTCATGTACAGTGTAGACCTGGCACCCGAACACGTTCAGCAGTTCAGCCGAAGCTCAGCCGACCGCTTGACCAACCGCGATGGCTCAAGCTTGCAAAAGCGTGTTTGGGCACCAGTGCATTTGCAAACAGAGACCAGGCTGGAACATGTAGGACAAGCCCTAGGTCCCTCCCAGCCTTGAGAGCCAGGTTCGCAGGCTCGCGGTCGCATGGAATCATGGAATCTGCAGTGCCAGTGGGACACAGAGAGTGAGCAGTCCATGGACGTCGTGTGGTGGTAAACCTTTGTGCTGTAGCACCTGGAGGATAAAAGACGAGTCGGGGAGTGCAGACGATCCTGAGAGCGAAGCTAAGTTCGGGCTTTGCAGTGAATGGAGCGGGGGTGCGTTTGCGAGGGGTCCCGCGAGATCTCGCGAGCCAGGATCGGGACAACCCACACCAACTCGAATCGGCCGTTATATCCGGGAGCCGTCGTCCTCGAAATTTTGTGAAAGGGGGGTGGGCTCTAGCTCTAGCAAGTAAGAAAGAGTGAAGGAGAGAGTGCGCGCGGTGGGGGGCAACCCCCGCCCTAGCCCTGGCGAAAGAGTGCGAGACAGAGCCGCCGTCAGCTTGAAACCCAGATCCTGTCCTGTCGGTCCAGCCCCTTGAGGTTATCGACGCTCTTTTCCCCGTCACTCTGGGCGGTACGGCAGCAGTGCCGGGAGCCTTCGGGTGTGGCAAGACGGTCATTTCGCAGGCGGGGCCCTGTTGGTCCAAGACACGGAATGTCGGCTTAGGCCCACCATCCCAGCCCGCGGTTCAGCACCGCAGCTACCCTTCAGGATCCATCTTCGAACCCTGAGCTGACATGAGTCCAGGCATTGTCGAAGTACTCTAACGCTGACTGCGTGGTCTATGCGCCCCGGCAGCATCGGACTTCCCAGTGTCGTGCGAACCTCCAGCCTCGGCATTGCAAACTACCGTCATTTGAGGTCGGATGCGGCGAGCGTGGCAATGAGATGGCAGAAGTGCTCACAGACTTCCCAGAGTTGACGACCATGATCGACGGCAAGGAGACCCCCAAATCGGTGAAGCTTAGCAGCCAGGCAAAAGACTAGCGGAAGGCCAAGCTCGTAAATGTGAGACCGTGCAGGAAGAGCCAATCATGCAGCGAACCACCCTTGTGGCGAATACATCGAATATGCCGGTGGCTGCGCGAGAAGCATCGATTTACACAGGCAGCGGTCTAGTGTAGCGGAAGAAGTGTTGGCAATCGCTCTGCAACATACGTGCAAGAGTTTCTTTTGCAGAGGCGAACTCTGACTTCAAGTATACACATGTTTGGTGGTCGTTTACAGACTGATTCAGTCGTTTCTGCAACATTGCATCCAGGTGTGACAACGGCAGAATATTTCCGTGATATGGGCTACAACGTTCCTCAGCTCGAAATTTTGGGGCCGAATGTTCGGGCTTTGACCAACTCGTGGCAACCTGAAGACCCTTGCAGCTCTGCAACACATTCCCGTAGGTTCATCCGAATCCCCAAGCTCACGAGGATCAACTGCGAAAGCCGATTGTTCTTCAAAGGGAGCGCACAAGAATCTAAGGTGGCCATGATGGCGGATAGCACCAGTCGATGGGCCGAAGCACTTCGAGAAATTTCTGGACGACTGGCAGAGATGCCGGCAGATGCCGGCTACCCTGCTTATCTAGGCGTGGGACAGAGCGAACGAGTGATGCAAAGCCACATCATTGGACAACGCAGCGCACGTATCCATTTTCGGGTGGGCAGGAGCGCGTTTGGCCTCGTTCTATGAGCGAAGTGGCCGCGTTCAGTGCCTCGGAAACCCACCACGTGAGGCACGGGAAGACACCGTGCCCAGTTCTCCTTGTTGCGCCGTTGAAATAAAGTCGGGCTCTGTTGCTACCAGGGCTCCATTACCATCGTTGGCGCAGTGTCACCGCCAGGCCTGAGCCCTGAGCTTCAACCGCTGTCGCTCACTGACTTGCACGAGGTGGCGACTTCACGGACCCAGTGACATCCGCGACGCTGAGTATCGTCCAGGTCTTCTGGGGTCTTGACAAGACGCCTGCCGTGGTATAGATTGGTATAGATAGTTTGAGGAGTTTGAGAGTGTATTGAGTACTTGGGTGTCTTGGAATCCATCAGGGCCTTGGGGGAATTGCCTGCCTTTGAGGAAGCTGGCTCAGCGAAAGCATTTCCCTGCGGTGAACTGGAACATCTCCTTCTCCAAGTACATTCGCAGCTTGGTATGCAGACTGTTCTGCTCTGCTCTTCTCTTTTGGTGTCAGCACTGGTTGTGCCGCGAGTGCTTCTTCAGGCGTCTTGGAGCCGTATTTCGAGAAATACGACGCAGAGTACAGCTCCTTGGTGCAACTCCCCATGCTCGACATGGCGGCTGCGCGTGTAATACTGCAACTGTTCAGGGTCCGAACAACGGATGGTGTATCAGGCATGCTCCAGCAGAAGATGAAGGAAATCTTGCAGAAGGAGGATGACCTGCAGGAAATTGTGCAGCAACCTGGCAGTACGAAATTGGAAACAAGCTACCCTTTCTCTCAAAAGTTATCCGTGGCGTGTCCATGCCTGGTCACCAGGCTGGTCGGAAAGGATTCCCTTTCCGAAGATCAGAAATGTACCCTGGAAGTTGCAAAGATCATCCGCGAGGTGCCATATTAAAAGCAAGTCTGCTGCCGCGGCATCCAAATAAGGGGACAAGCATGTCAGCTGTTGCCTTTCATGCAGGATTTCCTGCAGCAGAACGGCTTCACGGACTATGACTTCATGTGCCCGTTGGCCAAGACCATCGGCATGATGAAGGTCATCGTCGCTCGGACCCGGAGGTTGGAGAAGGGTCCCCCCCGGCTGTCTGAGTGCTTCCCAAGGTTGGCTTCCACGAAGCTGCCCAGAAGATGATGGCGGAGTATTCTGGCGAGCACAAGGTTGGCTGGAACACCATCGCAGTCGCGATGAAGGCGACAGGGGCAGGTGTTTGGCCCCGAGCCTGCTGCCCTGTTGCGATTTTTTTTGTGCAGGACATGATCAAGAAAATCACCGACATGAAGTTCGAGATGCCCCGCCAGTCCGAGGCCGGATCAGATGCTTATGATGACTCTTTTCACATCTCGCATGCACCGCGCCCACCTGCCTCCGTCAGCGGTTCATATGCACAGTGTTGTGCTGGGAGTGCCAGCTGATGGTTTGTTTTGCAGCCCGTGCAGGAGCACTACAAGCGCACCTTCGTGGCTCTGCACGACGAGGTGCTTGCTGCCTTCAGAACGCTGGCCGAGGACAAGTAAGGCGGGCAGCAGTGTCGGTTCTGGCATCTCCACTACAGACACTACGTGCGAGAACAAGTGCGAGCTTTGCAATGCCCTTGAAGACACTCGTAGTCTGCGGTTCCGACTTGATGTTGACCCTCCAGCTGTGCAGGTGAATTTCGGCGTCAGAGGAGGTTTGTGCTCATCCACTTGGAGCCAAATGGGCTTCGCAAGGTAACAGCTGCACGGATGCTATTTGACTATGGTTTCACAGAGTGCTACAAACTCTTCAGTATCATCGTCAGTGTGTCGTTCGGATTGCGCGATGCAGCTACATTACTTTGTCAATGCTGGAAGAGAACTTTCCGACCAGGTTTTGTTTTGCCCCCACAGGCTCTTAGACACAGACCTGTGAGATTGATTTCTGGAGCCGATTCTGGGAGCACATCGCGGGTGCCAGAATCGAAGCGTTTCCATGGTAGGTCAGAGCACAGGTAGACACACACACATACACACGCAGGCACTTACGATGCTTAAGATAGAATAGACATGCATCTTCGCTGTTTAGACTTAGCCCCTTCAATGGTGATGCCTGTCCACCAGAGATGGGTGCTGAGCTAGTCTAGCGCACCTGTCCACAGTCAGCGTGACTGGGTGGCAGATGGAGCGCCCGTTGAACCAACTGTTTTGTCTTAAAAGAACAGGCTGCGCTGTGTGAATCTTTGTGATTGCCCTTTTGTACGCATGCCGCCAAACTCAGTGCATCTTGCTTGCTCCGGACGGGTTGCTCTGCAAGGTGCTGGCAACCAGACGGTGCTTCGTTCCAGCCCCAGCGATTGCTAACACTCCGCCAGGGAAGCACTCAAGTGGGATGTTGATGGATTAATGATTACTGGAGTACATGGAGATCCCATGGAGTGAACGTGTTGGAGGGCCACGTAGCAGGTCTTCGCTCCGGCACCTGCTCCTCCACAGACAGCACCTGCAGGATTTCGCCTGGCACAACAGGCGTTTCGCTGCCAGGAGAGCCGAAGATAAGGGTGCCAGGAGCTCTGGGGTCGGTCTTCCTTTTCCTTGTCCAGGTAGGGATCCGGCCAGGGGAGCCAGACCACTGCTGGTGCCAGCTCACAGTTCGCGCATAAAGCTTGCTAGCCCCTGAATCCTCAACTTGGTATTTCGGTCTTTGCACCCGTCGTCAGTGTCAGAGCCTAAGTCTTTCGGTACAGGACTTGCTGATGCGACAGCAAACCTAAACTTGGGTAAAGATGGCTGGCAAGTACACCCAATGATATTCGTTCCGGACGTTCGCCAGCCCACCCCTATGTTCTAGCCTTGTCCGGCGAAGTGTTTGCCGGCTTTGAGCCGCTCCAGTTCTCTCGGTTACACGTTCCCAGCATGCAATGTGCAGTGTCCTTTCTGCTGCACGCAGGTGTCGCACACGGTTGTGCTTCGACTCGATGCCGAGTTGCAGGACCGACGCTCAAGAGTGACAACGGTGGGTTGGGTGGGTTGGTCGCCGATCCAGATGCTCATCCCCTGTTCTTCTTTGGCCCATCATGTCGACCAAGCGAGGGAGACTTTGCACGCATGCACGAATGCAATGACTAGCATCGAAGCTTAGTTTGGTGCAGGCATTCTCGTTGCTGCGGTTGGGGCATGCAGGACGCCAGAACTTGTGCTGCAACACATTGAGCAATGAGGTGTCAGAAACAGAAGGAAGAGGTAGTGAAGACGGTAATCTCCGCGGCAGGAGCCATCTTGCAGCAATACTGGCACTTCCAGTGTTGGATGGTGCTACATCGTCTGCTCTCCGTGGTAATGCTACTCAGCAGAGATTACGGGCGATTTTGCTGCAAAAGTGCTTGCAGCAGTCGTTGCTGACTCCTGCATCTAAAACCTTGCGCTTGTCGCAGCCGGGGTTTACTTCGCCTCAGCAATGCTTGTGATCTGACAAGGTCTGTACTGACAACGTGCCTCACATTCGTTTGGCAGCGCGGCCAAGCTCGAGCTGTCTGGCGGCTACCCGAGCTGACAGGCCCTCGCTCCTCCCAGTTTCGCCACTGCGCTGCACGCATGTCTCTTGTTCCCAAATAACGGCATGTACGTCGAAGGGTGTCGTAAGTCCACGAACTATTGAATCTTCGAGCTTGTTGCTTTGGCGTAAGCTGCAAAGCGGCATCTCTTGCAGGAGCAATTCGGCCGCATCTGGCCTGGCATCCTGACGCGGCTTGCCTGGCCTCGGTATCGCCTGCAGGGCACGTGGCCGTGCACAGTGCAGTCCTCACTCCTTGGTGTCATGAGCTGGAGCTGGGACAGCCGTTGAATTGATGAAGGTCTGGTCGGCGAGTCAACAGAGCACCTTCACGTTCAAGGAGCGCCTTGGACGAAGAAGAGAGCTGAAGGCATGCACGTATGTACGCGCTCTCCAGCTGCCAAGGATGGTGCCTGGCCCGTGGCTGCAGTTGCCTGGCAGCCCTGCGACCTCAGCAGCTTAGCTGCCTCCCGGCCGAGATCTGGCAATTGTCTACAAACATTTGCTTCCGTCTTGATCTCCATGCCTCGTTGCACACCGTATCACAGGGTTTGAAGTGCACAGGCGGTCTTCTGTGGCTAGCTACCCGGGACCTGCTTTGTCGAAAACCTGAACTCTTCACTCGCAGTCTTACATTATTACTAACTATTACAGATGATTGCAAACTTGACGGCCAAAGGCAGCGCCAACCATGCTTGTCCTGCTTTCATGATCGTGCTAGAGGTGCTAGGGTCTAGAGACAAGGTGGCCGGACCTCTGGGTCTCTGCTTCTGGCGTCGAAAAGGCAGCTGGCAGCGGATATGGTCGCTGCAGGGGGAGGTCCAGTGGGTAAGAATGTTTGCCATGCCTTCTTTAAAAAGGGCCGGACAGGGCAAGTGTGTTAAGGCCTTCGCCTCCTCGGCCCTGGCTTGGTCTCCCGATGGTCGAGCTTTGGCTGCCGCCGGCCCACTCGGCGTTGTCGCGCCCCAAGCCGTTCAGACCGGCGCAGGATTGAATTCTGCTGTGCTTTCTGTGACAACCGTTGACGTTGTAGTTCTGAGGTTCATATACTTGGACCTCACAGTGCACTTATCGGTGAGCAGGCGAACGGCGCCAAGCTTCAATGTGGTGAAACACACGTGTGTGTGCA